TTTTGTTTACTAATCAGCAGGAAGCAGAACAAAGGGAGATGATCACAGGATCATTTCTTCCCACAGTTTTCGATGTCTTTGATTATTTCACTGCAGAGGGAAGAAACGAGCACAGATACAGAAGTAAAGTCAGTTACAGTAAAGGTAAAACATCCCCACGGTGCAGACATCAGAGTCTAATCTGCAACATTTTACTTACTGTCCAGTTACAGATCGCATGTATCACATGACCTCAAATGATTTGTTTGTGAACAACATGACATGAAAGCAAATTAATTCACATTAAGTTCACTCCAGAGCACATCTGCTTATTCAAAGGGCTTAAAGTTGACCTCAAAAGGGCCTCAGCTGCCCAAGTCCAGTAAAAATACCTGTTAAAGCTTCACAAGGTTTTCCTTATTCTTCAGCTGCAGTCACATAAATCTCCTGTTCAAACAAACTGCCCTTTATAATTGAAATGTGTGTTTATATTGCAACAGAGGCCAAAACTGCAGACATGATCATCTAAAACATGAGCACCACACGTGGAGCTTAACTGGCAGCACAGAGGCCAACTGAAGACTGAGCTGTTCAAACACAGCTTATTAAACCACAGGTGGAAACAATCAGGAAAATCACAGGGCAGGAAGTCAAACCAGCACACTGCATGAAAGAAAATCAAACTTCAAAGTCAAACAGGAAATAATCAGAGGAGACTAAACCTAACATGAACGCAGAGCGACCGAGACATAAAAACAGCCCGAGACAGAAGGAGGACGATCAGCAGCACAAGCACAAAGACCTGAACCAACAACCAGGCAGACCTGAAGCAGCTGAAGCTCACAACCACTAAAAGAAGAAGCACAGTTACATTCAGATAATGCAGGCTGCACGAGAAAGTGTGTGTGTGTCTGCATGCCAAGTATGGGGCAAGATACTAACCCCAAGTTGCTCTCTGGTGCATCCATCGGAGTGTGAATGTGTGCGAACGTCGTTAGAAAAACACTCAGTTTAGAGTCAGTGCTTGTGAGAATGGGTGTGATTGGGTGAATGTGCCATGTTGTATACAGCACCCTGAGCACGCCGGGAGAGTAGAAAAGCTCTATATAAGAATCAGTCCATTTACCATTTACACACACACAGAACCAAAAACAGTGAGATAATCATGGAAACAGAACAGTGTAAAAATCAACAAACTCAACATTAACTCAAATTTAAAATTAGAAACAAATTTGGAAAACGTTTTGTTTTTTGGGTTTTTTTGTCAGAGTTGTTTTTTCCTAAATACGCCCACTCGACGCCATTTTTCTTGTACATGTACAAACATTTTCTCATAATGTTTCCAAATATTTAAAATTTTCCTTCTTGTTATTTTGCAATTTTCTCCAAAACCTTTATAATGTTAAACTACCAGAAATGTACCATTAGTGGTCATTTTTCAATTAAAATGTATTATTATTGTTGTTATTGTTGTTATTTTGTTTGTTTTTGCAGTTTGTTGTTGTGCTTCTTGCCCTTTTTTGTCAATTTTTCTTGCTTGTTAGTTTGTTTTGTTGTAAACTGGTGAAAGTTTTCTTTGAATTTCTTCATTTTTACTTATTATTTATTTTAATCTTCAGTCTCAAACGTCTAAAAAGATCGCAGATCGGGTCCAACACACTCCTGTCTGTAGAGGGCAGCACTACATTTCAGTCCGCAAGCTGCTGGAAATTCATCAGACGAAGAAGAAATTCGGCGGAAGTAATCAATGAAAACTGTTGTTGTGTGTGAGCTGAGTGTGTGAGCTGCGGCAGCAACGATGCCTTCAGTTCAGTATCTGAGAGAGTTTATCAACGAGCGACTAACTGCTGCTGCTGAACAAATATTCTTGGAGTTTGAAAAAACGATCGTCCAGTACGAGGAAGAGATCGACCGTCAGCGCAGACTGCTGGATATCACCTGGAAACCCCAAATCAAGCTGCACAGGACAGGTGAGTCTGTGACGTGGAGCTCTGTGGGAAAGCTAAAATCATTTCCACGGGCTTCGTGACAGAAACACTGAGGGTAAAAGAACCAGCAGAAGAAACGCGTCACGCTACACAGCAGCGAACGCAAACGGCGTTAACAGATTACTGACGTCACGTCTTTGATCAGTGGTTGTCGATCGATGGTCGTTTTAATTTGCATATTAGTAATCATAAAGTGACGTCACGGTTTCAGTCATCGTGCACACGTGCTGTTTGTTTGGAAACCTGCAGTCAGCTGAGACTGAAGAAGTCACCTGATGATGATGAGAAGAAGAACAGAATCAGCCTGTGGGTCGGTCACGGTGGACAGGGCACGCGCACACGTTTTTCTCTGATTTCATGAGAACGTTTTTTACTTTTAATGTTCATTCAGTACTTCCGGTGTTTCTGTCACGTGTCCGTCCTGGTAGTTGCAGTAGAGACAGGATGCTGTGTGAAATACAGACACATGAAAATGAGTCCAGTGATGTGCTGATCTCATAAATCTGGACTGTATTCACAAAAGAACAGAAAACAAATCGTTTAAAGTGAGAAAAAATGAGCATTTCTTTGTCAGCTTATTTTAAATGTTCACGTTTTAAATGTTCACGTTTAAAGAGTCAAGTCGGATCCACGGTTTCTTCATGGATCTCTGAAGCTTTGGCCACATAAAAATAATCAGCAGTAGTCGTATGTTTTAATGTGGTGTTTTCAATAAAGCACTCGACCTTTGCTTGCCTTGTGCTTTAAACATGTGCAGACGTCCCACAGCAACATGTCAGCAGGGAGGAGGAGGTTCTCCCCGAGCAGCAGCTCTGTGGCCAAGAGGATCCAGAACCTCCACAGATTAAAGAGGAACAGGAGGGAGAGCAGCTGGTAGTGAAGGAGGAGAGTGTAGACGTCATCATCTGGAACGAGAGCAGTCCTCAGCATGAACAAGAGGACGTCACCTGCAGCCCACAGATGAAGACACAAAGGACAGGTGTGTAGTATGAAACCATTTCAGTGAACCACAGCCGAGTGTGACTCCTGTGAATCTGAGTCAGGATCTAGTTTCAGCAGAAGAGTCCACGTTTTCATTCAGTGACATGTTACCAGCTGTTCCTCCTGATGCTGCCCGCACATTTATCCAGGCTTGGGATCAGCGGGAAGCACAGACAGGCCGGTGTCTCCTCCTGGTCTCAAACCTGTGATCTCTGTCAGTGGAGCCACCGGGCACAAGTCATCCCATTAATGTTCTGAGCCTAATTTATCCCCCGGTGTTTGTACCCGACTTAATAGGACTAAATGCAAACATACCAACAGAATATTAGTTTACCTTCATCTCCTTCTCAGCTTCACTAATCGGTCATTTTTATTTCTTCTATGCAAAAGTGGAAATAATAACTTATTTCTTGTGCACCTTTGTTTAGACGTCCCACAGCAGCATGTCTGTGAGGAGGAGGAGGAGGTTCTTCTCCCTGAGCAGCAGCTCTGGAACCAGGAGAGGAGCTCCAGTGTGGACCAGGAGGAACCAGAAGCTCCACAGATTAAAGAGAAACAGGAGGAGTTCTGTCAGGAGGTGAGCCAGGAGACTGAGACCTTCATGGTGGAAGAAAGTGAGAAAGGAAGCAAGAATGCTGACTCAGGATTAACTGTGAGTTTCGGTTTAAAGCCAAAAACGAGAAATCGCGGACGTCTCGGTGCAGACGACGCTCCGAGCCAGCGTCGCTCTGACACGGCCAGCAAATCTGTAACATGTGACGTTTGTGGAAAAGGCTTCAAGTATAGATCCCGGATGCAAAGACATCAGAGAATCCACACAGGCGAGAAGCCGTATCCCTGTGAGATGTGTGGGAAAGGTTTTTCTCAGAAGGATGCTCTGACTGTGCACATGAGAACACACACAGGTGATAAGCCCTATGTTTGTAACACCTGTGGGAAAAGATGCTTGACCTCATCGACCCTTACCCGGCACGCCGCGGTCCACACGTGCCAGAAGCCCTATTCCTGCAAAACGTGTGGGAAAGGTTTTGCTCAAAAGTCCATTTTGCTGGTCCACACGAGAGTGCACACCGGCGAGAAGCCCTATCTGTGCAACATCTGTGGGAAGAGATTTTTTAAATTGTCAACGTTTAACATGCACATGTTTATCCACGCAGATGAAAAGCCGTATTCTTGCCAAACATGTGGGAAAGGTTTTAATCGAAGAACTGATTTGTACGTCCACAGCAGAATTCACAGAGGTGAGAAACCCTTTTGTTGCCCAACGTGTGGCAAGTCTTTCAATCGGCGCAGTAATTTATTATCCCACACAAAAATCCACACGAGTGAGAAGCCCTATTCCTGCGAAACGTGCGGGAAGTCTTTCAATCGAGGCAGTAATCTGTTACGCCACATGAGGTCTCACACAGGGGAGAAGCCTTATGTTTGCAAGAGCTGTGGGACCAGGTTCGCTGACTCGTCGTCACTTAAAAGGCACAGAGGAGGAGCTGCTGAATGTGGAAGAAAAGCTTCTTTAAAATCCTCCTGAGAGACCACACAGCTGAGAGGCTGTGACTGTATCAGCGTTACTGCACCACGCAGCGGAGACGTCCTCTTGCTGTGCACCATGACATCCGTCACTGAATTAATCGAGTGGCACTAGCAGTGGGAGTGGGCGTGTGTTTTTGAGTCTAAAGATATGTTTTGAGAAAATCTTGGTTATTGAGTCTGTGTGCCTGTATGTGCTTCCTGTGGTAATGTCAATTTCCACAACAGCCTCTGTGGAATTTTGTCACAACAGTGGGAAGTGGAGGGGAAGCCACTGGGAGTCTGAAGTTTTCAACAAGCAGCTTCTATAAGTTCTCTTTCCTTCCAGAGTCCGACGAACCTTTTCTCCCTTACATTCGTCGCTGTGGCTCACGTGCTCCTGAACTTTAGTGTGGCTGTGCCACGAGCTCATTTGTAGCCCATCAGTTTTCTCCCACTTACAGACCTCTCTCTCTCTATCCACCTGCTCGTCCGTGGAGCGGATATGCAAGTGTTCTCAGCTGAATCATGGGGCGGATGCTGTGTTATTGGACTCGACAGCTCCAGACCACACAGGGTTTAAACCAGACGGCAGAAAGATTAAACGCATTTTCATCAGGTGTATAAATATCAGGTGTTTTTCAGCATGGTACCCTACAGATGAAGAGAATAAAGAACAAATATGAAAATGTGTCTTTGTTGTTTTTACTGCCACTTTGTGCAATAATGCATTTTTAAAATAATTTCTTTGCTTCGTGGATGGATGTACTTTATAAAAACAAAGCTTATCTGATGAGTAAAGTGTGAAGTGTAAAGCTTTTAAAAAAACAAAAATGATTTCTTCTGCGGGTTTATTTGGTTTAGCTTTAAAACTTTGGATGATTCTGACTCATGAAGCAAGTTTTTCATCTTAATCCTGCAACCTGCCACAAATCTCTCCATTTTAGACATTTTACATTTGCTTTTCGTCTGTACAGGGCTTTTATTATGAAACTCTGGGACACGAATAAGCCCTTTGGGCGCATGCGTAGAAGAAGCAGGTTTGCAGCAGCGGTTCTCCTGAGGCGCGGACCGAGCCGGAGCACGGTGTAGTATCCCCCCGCTCAGTACTCGGGTTACTGCAGTAGTCATGTGTACTCTTGAGTATCTGAAGGACTTTATCCAGCGGAGGCTGACGGCAGCCGCGGAGGAAATCTTCAGCGAGGTGGAGAAAACCTTCGTGCAGTACGAGGAGGAGCTCGACCGTCACCGGCGGCTGCAGCGGAAGCTGCTCCTCACAGGTGTGTAAAACCTGCACGTGCCGGAAATCCAGCCAGCGGTGCTGCGTTCGAGGTCAAACTGGGAGTCGGAATTTTATTATGAAACGTAGCCCGCGAGCCCACATCCAAGATGGCGGCAGTGAACGTAAACTGTGGTAAAACTTGGAATGTGTGCAGCACAGCTGTGTACCCGTGACTCACTGGCTGTGTCCCAATTCAGGGTCTGCAGCCTCAACGATCCTCAAGGGCCGTGTACCCAAAGACCGCTAAGGCCGGAAGTGCGAGGCTTGTGAAATGGGCGGTCTAGCCACCGTCGCGCTGCCCAGGTTGCCTAGCAACCATGATACTAACAGCTGGAAACGTGTCATACAGCTGTGTTTGACAGAAATGAAGGAGAACATATTTTGTTCATTTGTTTGTTTCTACATGAGCTTTGATCATTCTCTGTAAGATTAAGCTCAGCTATTGGACGGCGCATATTTAAAGGCTTTAAAACCAAGTTAGTACAAACGTCACTAATGTCACATGACTTTGCCGACATGTGGCCAACAGGAATGTTTTAATGTTCTTCGTTATTAAACATTTGCACATAAATAAGTGACATAATATTCAGTACTTAAAGTTTACTCTTCTTTTTTTCGGCAAAATCATCCACACCCACCGCCGCGCTATGCATTCTGGGATATGTTGGGCCACGAAGTCTACACCGCCACATCCTTAAAATTCAGGGAAATTAAGGACGCATTTCGAGCAGCCTTTGAATTGGGACAGCCTTCGGCGCGCCGCTGTGACGTAATCGGCCTTAAAATGCGGCCTTTAAGGCTGCAGACCCTGGATTGGGATACAGCCACTGACCTGCTCCACCCATGAATGTGCTGCACAGGTGCCAGAAACTGTCTGATGAGCTGAGCTCAGCAACAACAGGGAGGCTGCGCATCAGCTCACCTGAACACACCTGGCTGATGCACGAGCTCTGGAGCCGATCGGTGGTTGGCTGGATCCGCTTTATTCCAAACATGTAAACAATATACCGAAGTTCATTTAGCAAAGACAAACAAACAGCTTTACAGAATAACATACAAGGAAAGGAGTGGGAAGAAGTGCGCATGTCCCGCCCCTTCACCACAGTTATCGGTCAATATTCAATCAGCGTCCTTGTTGATATAATCTGCAGTCATAATGATAACGAACATATTTCTAACATAATATACACACCACATAACATCACTTTGTTTTTGCCTCCACACAACAAAGCCGACTCCTCCAGTTATGAGAAGTTAGTTGTAGAATCCAATAAGCAGGAATGAAACTCTGTCCACGGCCTGCTGGGAGACAGAGCTGTCAGATCGTCAGCCTTTGTTTCCTCCTCACCTTCTGCAGGGAGGGCACGTCTGCTGAGACCCCACTGACCCAGGCTTGGATGAGTCAGAGGAACTTAATGGATGGCTGGATTTGTTATACACCTATAAAGCTGAAACTTCTCCCCAACAGGAAATCTTTGTTTTTAGTTATGAACCTCTTGAAGCCATTCTTTCTTTTTTATGTCTCATATTTAAAAACTGGATGTTAAATCTGATGCTCCTGACCTTTGTGTGTGTGAGTGAACCACAGAGTTCACTAACCCTCACCAGGATCTCTGTGGGTTTTACTATCATCATACTGTTAACTTATTTCTTGTGCAACTTTGTTTAGATGTCCCACAGCAGCCTGTAGGTAAGGAGGAGGAGGTTCTCCCTGAGCAGCAGCTCTGGAACCAGGAGAGGAGCTCCAGTGTGGAGCAGGAGGAACCAGAAGCTCCACAGATTAAAGAGGAAGAGGAGGAACTGTGCAGCAGTCAGGAGGGAGAGCAGCTGGGACTGAAGGAGGAGACGGATACCTTCATGGTGACTGCTTGCTGAGGAAGGAGAGCACAGTGAACCAGACATGGAGCAGCTCTTCTCTCGGGGGCCTGATGCCTTCATGGTGACTGCTACATATGAGGAAAGTGAGGAAGGAAGGAAGCAGTTTTGTTGCCCAACGTGCGGCAAGTCTTTCAATCGGCGCAGTAATTTATTATCCCACACAAAAATCCACACGAGTGAGAAGCCCTATTCCTGCAAAACGTGCGGGAAGTCTTTCAATCGAGGCAGTAATCTGTTACGCCACATGAGGTCTCACACAGGGGAGAAGCCTTATGTTTGCAAGAGCTGTGGGACCAGGTTCTCTGAGTTCTCATCACTTAAAAGGCACAAAGCACATTTTGCACAGAGCTGCAATATGTGGAAGAAAAGTTACAGCATGTCCTTAAAATCCACGTGAGAACCACACAGCTGAGAGGCCGTGACTGTGGCAGCTACACCACGCAGCTGAGACGTGGTCGTCCTGAAGCACCGATGGGCAGAAAACGTGTGGACACATCGACTGGACCGCGCTGCAGCAGCAGCCTCGTGTGAAACGAGTCTGTTACTATCTGTTTTCAGTCTGAGGGAAACAGCACCAACAGTTCAAGGCAGAAAAACGTGAATCTTTCATGTTTTCATGAAGTCTCGGTGGCTCGGTGTGAGCCCCGTCTTTTAGCCTGTTTGTTTCTCTTTAGTTCTCCGAGCGGGATCACCGACATCTGTCACTGAGTTAGAGTTAGTGTTCTGGGAAATAAATGAGTGTAAAGACTGAGCAGTGCGAGCGGCTCATGTGTTTGGACGTTTTCTTGGTCTGTGTGTAAATAACAACATTAGAATGCAGCAGAAACACTGAGGTGTTTTTAAAAAGCTCAAGTTTCTCTTCCCTTAACCTAAAGGAGCCCACCTCACCCCCAGACCTCCCTCTCTCACCCAGGCCTCCCTCTCTCACCCAGTCCTTCTCTGCTGGAGAATCCCAGCAGATTCAATCCATCCAGCTCTCAGAGAAACTGGAACAAAAGCTCCATCTCAGTCTCTACAGGCTTCAGTTAGCATGTCAAAGGTTAAAGTTCATGACATCACAATTGCAGGAGAAAGCCTCCTCTCTATAGAAAGAGCACGCAGCACAACTCAGGTCTGCGACGGCACAGGCCGAGTCCACAGCTGAACCCAGCAGAAGAGCTGTGGTGGAAGTGGAACGAGTGACACGACGCTGTGAAGAAGAGCGAGCTCCAGACAACTTTACACATCTGTAACTTTATACTCCTGTAAGTGTCCTTTACAGTCACATTTTTACTGAGGTGACATACTTTAATACATATTCTGAATTTTGATATTTGAGAATAATTTATTTGTGATTATTTCATGAAATTTATTGTGAAGGTTTGTGTGGAAAATAAAGGAGTGAACAAAGTGGTTTGACTCTTGTGTCCTGGGTGCGCTCCTTTTAAATATAAATAACATGAGAACTGTAAGGAGTTCAAATGGACACTACACTTATATTAAACTTTTATGTATTTAATGTGTGTTGAGACTCCAGTCGGGTACATCCTTCCTCTTTCTTGTGGTGACCTACAAATAAAAGAAATACACAAGAACAAATATGAAAATATGGTTCTTTATTTATTATTATTTTGTGCAGAAATCCTCATTTTTCCTTTTTTTCGATTTTCTTCTGTGTCTCTGTGACATTTCACTAAGTTGCTTTTCGTCTGTACAGGGCTTTTATTGTGAAACTCCGGGAGAGGAAGAACCCTTTGGGCGCATGCGTAGAGGAAGCAGGTTTGCAGCAGCGGTTCTCCTGAGGCGCGGACCGAGCCGGAGCACGGTGTAGTATCCCCCCGCTCAGTACTCGGGTTACTGCAGTAGTCATGTGTACTCTTGAGTATCTGAAGGACTTTATCCAGCGGAGGCTGACGGCAGCCGCGGAGGAAATCTTCAGCGAGGTGGAGAAAACCTTCGTGCAGTACGAGGAGGAGCTCGACCGTCACCGGCGGCTGCAGCGGAAGCTGCTCCTCACAGGTGTGTAAAACCTGCACGTGCCGAAAAGCTAGCGAGGAGTTGTGCCACAGCGGTCTTGCACGCGGGTGTCCGCGCGGACAGCCTGAGCCAACATGGCCGAGAGTCACGGGGTCACTTCCGGCGTCATCCTCAGCTTTCGCCCCCCTTTGGTGTCAAACCTGCGCCTCTGGGCTATGCGTTGGCTGTACTGATGTAAGTTTGCCTGCGGTCAGTGGTTTACTTTAAGGGTCCACGAAGGTGTGACGGCTCGATAGTAGAGCTGTGAAATGTAAACGGCTTCACTGAGCTCGATTCTTCAGTTTGAGGGTAAATCTCTGAACACGGAGCTCGTGAAGCATGTCGCGAGTCTGACAGCAGGTTGGGAGGTCAGCAGAAACCAGACCTGTCCTGGTGTAACAGCGTCTCAGACACGAGGCACATCCGGCTCTTTAAGAATCTAAAAGCTGGATGATGTCACACATTAAAGCTGAAAGTTGAGCAAAAACAACATTTTGTTGTACTTGTTCCTGTTACTATTATATCCAAACTGTGTGACGCTGTTCTCGCTCATTGTCGCTCTGATATCATATCAGTGTAATGCAGTGACTGTTACAGAGGAGAAAACCATCTTCCACGTCGAACAAGATAAACCAGATTAGAACATGCTGCTGTTTTATTCTGATAAGTATGCTGACAGCACGCTGCACTCCTCCCTGCCTGAACCTGAAATGTGTTACTTAAAATATAAAACTAATAAACTACCAGTTAAAGTATTTACTGTTGGCCAATCAAAAGTCAAAGGAATCATTCTGTTTCCTTATCTGCGTTTCATGGATCGATATCGGTGCTGCATCATGTCTGTGCCATCACATGTTTGTATTAAAGCAGTGTGAGAATGGTACTAATGGAAGATGACGGTGATGTGGTATCTGAACAGCTGGTGGAGCCTCCACTTGTCTAAAATTGTGGCTTTAAAGTCAGAAAGCGATTTGAGGTCACATGTTTGCTCCTGATTCGTGTCAGCGAATGTTTCTATTCGTCCTCTCACTGACACAGAGATGCAGAACAGGAATAGCCACCTGAGACGATTTCCCAGCAGCGTTAGTTACACCAGCGGCAGGCTGAGCTGCCGATGCCGGCAGG